ACCATAAAAAACAGACTCATAGCATAACTTCACCAATTGTCCACATTATCGGTCATCTGTTCAATCTATTGTCAACGCTCACGGAATTACTGGTTCCCATACCTTAGCGGGAACGGTATTGTCTCTGGAACAAGTGTCTGCATGATTGACAGCGAGAGTTCGTGCCACAACGGTGCAGTAGACTGGATTTACGGTTCCAAGCCATCAAGTGGAGAGAACAACATAATCGACACATAAACAAGTATGATGTACTGTGCCATTGCTTATGAAAGAAAACCAGATTCAGTTATGTGCACTGACTATATAAGAGGGAGTACTTACCATGAAGCATCATCGTGCTCTTCAACAATCGAAGGGTAAGTTCACTTTACCTACAACAAAACCATTGAAGTCGTTTTCTCGCTATATTATGGAAAAGCACCATCATTATGGACAAAATTATCATTTCCTATTTCCGAAAAAATAGCAAAAAATTTCCCACTGTCCTTCTATTCTTCTGCTACCATTCAGTTTGCATTTCTGGGATATTACAACTCCTCCTTTCAATTTCGGCCTTTGAGTAAGACTGACTAAGCTTTCTTAGAAACATTTTCGCCTCATGAACAAACTCATGAACCTGCCCATCACTAAACCACTTTCCGAATGGCTTTCTCGAGTATCCGGTCCTATATAGGACCACTGAAACTGCCGTAAAAATGGCTTCATTACATATCAAATGGCTAAGTTAGTCTACTAGAAGTCTACTACTTTTCACTTCAGATGGGTACTATGCTTCACTACGCCGTCACTGGTGCATTCATCAGTACCGCCATCGCCATTGGTGTGACGTTCGTAATCATCTTCGACGTCATTAGCGACATCAACGAATTCCAAAGGGACATCGAAAAAGATCTCGATCAATTCAAGGTTAGCAAATAGAACCTGATGATCTGTGCTGGGTTAACACCTCACTGGAAGACAGATGCCCAGAGATGATCATGTTACCATTACAGCACATAGCCAACGACGCATGGAAAACAATGATGGGAGCTCAGCAGAACGAAGGCGGTTCGGTCTTTAGCTCAGTCAGAATTCGAAGAGGTGGCAGCTACGTTGGCGGAGGTGGTGGTGGCGCGTATGCAGCACGCGGGAGTGGAGGCTACGCAAGTGGTGGTGGAGGTTGTGCATGCGCAGCTAAAGCATCGGGTTGCCCACGAGGACCACCAGGTATGCGCACGAATATACTTTACTGAAATCAATGTAGAAATTATTGTTTTACTATGAAAACATTAACAGGACCTCCTGGCCAACCTGGCCTGCCAGGAGATGATGGTCTGCAAGGTCTTCCTGGAAGAGCAGGAGCAGGTGGTCTTGCAGCAGAAGGAGGTCACGGTGGAGGTTGTATCTCGTGTCCAGCCGGACCACCAGGTGAACCAGGACCGGATGGAGCTCCCGGCCCAGCTGGACCCGCAGGAAATCCCGGACAAGACGGAGAAAGCCTTGGAGGAGGTAAAATATAATAGTTTCCATTTAAGATCCTACTAACTATAAAGCGCTTCGTCTGTCGTCTGTCGTCTGTCTGTCTGTCTGTATGTCTGTCACGAAATTCCCTAGCTCCTCGGGATCCACCTGGAGGGACCGGGTCAAGTGTGGGATGGGTGGGCAAGGTCTCACGTAATACAAAACACACATCAGCTAAGCGGAGCCCCGCCCACAGAGGGCGTGGCGTGCGTCGAAATGAATTGTACCGAAGACCAAGATTTCGATTTCAGTGACAAAACGACCTCGAAACTGGGCCAAAAAGTGGGTAAGGTGTGCATTGGTAAGTCACATCGAATTAGGAGACCCACCCCCGGTGGGCGGGGCGTTCTCTAAAAAAGCAGTGCTTTATGAAAAATTTCATAACTCGGTTGGGAGAAAGCCTACAGAGCAGAAAACAATTTGGTGTAAGGGAGCAATGTCTAAGGTGTTTCCTGCATACATGACGTGGGCGGAGGCCCGCCCAGAATGGGCGGGGCGCGCTCTGAAGTGTACAGCATTTTCTACAAGCCCTCATAATTCGGGTCGGGGAAGTCTTAAAGAGCCGGAAAAAGGTGCGGAGGTGTATGGAGGAGTGGAGGCCAGCTGTCATCGGTGGGCGGGGCTTGACCAAAGTGGGCGGAGTTTGCGACGAAAATTCATAACTCGGCTCCAAGAAGTCCCGGAGGCCGGGAAAAGGGTGGATGGAGGTGTTTGGAGGAGTGAAGGCCAGCTGTCATTGGTGGGCTGGACATGTTCAAAGTGGGCGGAGTTATCAACGAAAATTCATAACTCGGTTCCAAGAGGTCCTGGAGACCGGGAAAAAGGTGAACTGAGTCCGTCAACGAAAGGGGAGGTCAACTGCCATTGTTCGAGAATTTACGCCGCACCACCCCATATCGCTGCAAAACTGTGCTGTGCGCGCAACGCGTGCGGCGCCAACTGGTCACTTATAAATCACGAAATATTCAGTGACTCCAAAATAATTTTAGAGCGAGAGATTACCTCGATCCCATCCATTAATTCAGCAATGAGTTGTCTTTGAGCGTAGACATTCGGCAAAAGCTTTTACACTTAGTACTCTCTCGTCGTCCGTTGTTTTCGTAGACGTGGGAATAAACACATACGCCAAATGCGACCCAAGTTACTAGCTTTCTGAAAGAAAACAATCTAAACCAGACCATCCAAAATGATTGAGTTGACCAGGAAGCAGGGTCAACTGTGGCG